AGACAGCAAGGGACCAATGAACAGCTACCAAAAGAGAAGAATGTCCACACCTTTATCTCAGCGGTTCTGCCAGGTGTCTGTGGCCGCTCTGATCCTTCCCCCACGTGGTCTCACCCAAGATGGTGGCTCCTGGAGCCGCTGATTGCCTGGACTAGAAAGCAATAGATTTCTTGCTTCTGCCACTAATTCCCGCAGCTGTGAGCCTTCCAACCTTCTAAGTATTCCTTTATATGTGGTTCAGAGTTCTGGGACTATCCCCTGAGCCTGCTTGGTCGGGTATTTTGTGTTGTTGTTGTTGGAGCTCTCTGCTATACGTCCACCCGATCCGCCATCTTGTTTGTTCCTTTCCTGATTTGCTTGCTTTTGTATGTAACACTTCTGTCTTCATTAACTGCTTTCAGGAGTGTCTCCTTAATCTTTGAATTTGGAGACCTTGATTATGGTATGTCTCAGTGATTTTCTTTTGGGGTCTGTGCTTCCTGGGGTTCGTTGAGCTTCTTGAGTGTTCATCTTTTCACTTTTTTTCTTTTTGCTCTTCTGTCTTAGTGGTCTTGAGAGATTTGCCTTCCAGCTCACTGGTTCTTCCTTCCATCTCTTCAGTTCTACTCCTTTGTCCTTTCAGTTTATTGTCTATTTCTGATATTGTATTATTGATCGTTTGGACCTCTTTCTGTAGGATCTGAATTATTTCAAATGTTGTGTCTATTCTATTTGACTGTTCCTGTAGTGCTTTCCTGACTTCTTCCTTATTTTTCTCAACTCCATTGTAACGTGTTTTGAAACATTTTATAATCATTTTTCTGAATTCCTTCTCAGGCATTTCCAAGACCTGCTCTCCTTCCAGAATGGAGTTCAGGTCTACCTGTAGGTCATTTGTCTCAGACATTTTATCTTTTTTTCTGGACATGTGCTGATATGGTCATCTGCTTTTGCTTCTTGTACATGTTTAGTGTTTATCGGTGGCCTTAAACTTAATTGAGTCTGTGTTTTGGTATTTTTTATGGTTTCTGATTGCCTCCAGGTAGATGTGATCAGTATGTGGGCTTTCCTTTTTACTCTTCTTATTGCTTAACTCAGAGTAGCTTTGACAGATATGTTGTCTGCCTCCCTGGTGTATGGCAGTTAGTATGCGTTCTTGCCTGGATTTTGATGTTTTAAAGAGTATGATTGTAGCTTTACTATATGGCAGCAGTTGCTGTCTCTTCTTGAGTAATTAATTATAGGGAGAGAAAGAATCCCACAAAGTTTTAAGGGGGAGCATAAAACAGCAACAGCAAAAAAGCCAATCAAACAAAAAAAATACCAAAACAACAACAAAACTAGATTGGATACTGTAGTCTATAATCGCAGAAAAGGGAGAGGCGGGAGAGATGGGGAAAAAAATCTGTAGCCTAAGTGTACAGGGTCGCTATGGGTCGGAACTGACTCGACGGCACTTAACAACAACAACAACAACAATATGAGTATGACTGTATGACTTTTATGTCCTCTTTCAGTTTCTTGCCTTCAAAGTTGTCTGATTTCAAGATGCCACTGTTGGTTGTTATGCTATACCTTAGGATTTCATTTAATTTTGGCCTGTATTGTTTTAAAACTCTCTTTCCCTCTCCACACCCCTTATTCTTGTCTTTTCCTGAAAAAACAACAACAACAACAAATAAAAAGCAGTTTAGGGGTGCCTTTTGTGCTGAGAGTATCTGTGTGCATGCGTGGCAGAAGAACCCACCGTGGTGAGGGTGTGGGGTATCCTCTGACTCAGGCACCCCCTCTAGTCACCAGAACGGAGGCTCGCAAACAGTGCAGGGGGGGCGGGCAATGAACAGATGCCAAAAAAAAAAAAGAAAATCAGAACAAAGCAAAACCGACAAAGTGTATTGCCCACCTTTGCTCCGAGGGTCCCATGACATTTCCCATGATGTATCTGGTCCCCCACTTGGTCATCCTGTTTGGTCTTGCCCAAGTTGTGCGCTCCGAACTACTGATCCCGGCAGATTCAAAAGTACATGATTTCTTACTTTCACTAGAAGTTCCACTATCTTATAAGCCTTCAAACTTTAAAAATATTCCTACCTATGTGGTTCCGAGTTTTTGGAGCTCTTCCGTGAATCTGCTTTGCCCCTGGTATTCTGTGGTATTGCTGACGGTGAACCTCACTGGATCTCTACCCTAGCTGCCATCCCAAAGACATTATTTTTGCAACAGATTTACCTGTTTTCTTTAGGCAAATCTGCTGCAAAAATGTCACTTTGAGGACTGTGTTGAGCCTGACCAAGCCATGGTATTTTTATTTTTTTTAATGTTTTATTGTGAATTATGTGATTGTTTACATGGAAGAACATTAGCTTTACATTCATCCTATTGTGTATCATTTCATTGCCATGGTTACAAACCCCTCTATGCATCATCAACCAACCCAAGAGTATATACCCTGCAAGCCTGCCCCCTGGTCATCAGCACACAGCCCCTCTCCCTCTCTGGGTCTAAAGTCCCCAGCTGCTCCATCTCTCCATGTCATCATCTCTGCCTCCATCTCTGGCATCACTGTTTCTCTGGGTAGTATCTCACACTCTGCTCTTCTCCCTTGATGGTTCCAGGGACCTCTGCTCGTGGACTGCATAGTCAATCACTCCTGTCATTTTGCTACAGAATGTCTACCTTTACATTTCCAACCCTCACAGTCAGTCCTGTTAACAATTATACACCATTGTACCACAAGGGACCCAAGCCATGGTATTTTCAATTTCCTCATATTCACATGAAATTTGGACAATGAGTAAGAGAGACCAGGAAGATTCGATGCATTTGAATTGCGGAGTTGGAGAAGAATATTTAAAGTACTATGGACTGTTAGAAGAACAAACAAATCCGTCTTGGAGGAAGTACGGGCAGAATGCTCCTTAGAAGCCAGGATGGCCAGAGTTGATCTCTCGTACTTTGGACATGTCATCAGGTAGGACCAGTCCCTGGAGAAGGACATCATGCTTAGCAAAGTGGAGGTCAGTGAGAAAGAGACTGTTACAGTGACAGCAACAATGGACTGTAACTAACAATTGTGAGGTTTGCGCAGGAGCAAATAGTGTTTCATTCTTTGTACATAGTGTCGCTATGAGTGGGAACCAATCAGACAATACCTAGCAACATCAAAAAGATTTACCAGTATTGCTGTGCATCAAGACCCTTTGGATACATGCTGTCACATCTTGCATAGCTGCCTGATCTTAGTGCAAAGACTCTGGAAACAAACTGATGCCCTAAACCTGACAGTCCTCAGAGAAAAGGAATGTCTTCTTTAGGATATGTGGTTAGGTCAGCCTGTTACAAAAGGCAGCTTTTAAAATTCAAGACTTTAAAATGGATTAAGGCTTCACTTGCTGACTGCTTTATTTACACACACAACATGCTCAGGATTTTAAGCTTTCATACAGAAGTCACCCATTGATTTGGAGAGAGGTTTTACACGGACATCACTATATCCCATGATGCTTCCACCGTCTGTGAGGGGAGGGACAGGGACTTACAGCCTTGAGCATTGCTCTTCTGGTGCTACAGTGGGCAGAGGGGGCTGCCACGGGGCGGGACGTGAAGAGGTCGGGGGGGAAGCCCAGAGTGTGTGGGATGAACTTATGTTGTTGTTTTTAGGTACTGTTGAGTCAGTACCAACTCTTAGTGTCCCTGTGGACAACAGAGCGAAACAGTGTTCAATCCTGGGCCAACCTCACAATTGTTGCCACGCTTGAGCCCATTGATGCTGCCACTTTGCCAGTCCATCTCGCTAGGGGTCTTCCTCTTTTTCTCTGACCCTCCACCTTACCAACATGGTATCCTTCTCCAGCGACTGACAATATGTCCGAAGTATGAGAGACCAAGTTTGGCCATCCTGGTCTCCAAGGAGTACTCTGGCTGCACTTCTTCCAACACAGATCTATTGGTTCTTTTGGCAGCCCATGGCACTTTCAGTATTCTCCTTCAACACTAACTCAAAAGCATCAATTCTTCTTCGGTCTTCCTTATTCACTGTCCAGAGTTTGCAGGCATATGATATTTCTGAAAATACCATAGTTTGGGTCAGGTGCACCTTTGTCTTCAAGCTGACATCTTTGCTCTTCAACACTTTAAAAAGGTCTTGTGCAGCAGATTTGCCTGATGCAATATGTCGTTTGATTTCTTGACTGCTGCTTCCATGAGTGTTGATAGTTGATCCAAGAAGAATGATGTCCTTGACAACTTCAATATTTTCTCTGTTGGTAAAATTGTTGGTTAGTGCTCCAGTGGTGAGGATATTTCTTTTCTTTACATTGAGATGCAATCCATACCAAAGGGTGTGGTCTTTGATCTTCATCAGTAAATATTTGAAGTGTTCTTCACTTTCAGTGCGCAAGGTTGTATCATCTGCATATCGCAGGAGTCTTGCCTTAATCATTGGTGGTAGTGGTTGTGTGTAGTGGACTCGGTTCTGACTCATAGAAACCCTATATCGAGCTTCAAAGACTGTAAATTGTTACAGGAACAGAAAGCCTCATCTGTCTTTGCAGTTAGCAGCTCAACTCATAACATACTATGCTACCCGAGCAGTCCTACTTTAATACTGCCTCATAGCAACCTCACTTCAAAGAAGAATCCATAATCACAGGCTTATTAAGTACCATGAAGTGCATTCCGACTCACAGGTGTGCTTGAACTTAACCCATGACCCCTTCAGAGCTCCTGAATTAGGTCTCATTTTACATTTGAATGATGGGTTAGAAATGATAAGAGGTCATATTTTAGCATGCTGATTTAGTAAGTGGTTCCCTTATAGTAGGTGATTCTGTTTTTCTTTTCAGATCTGCAGTTGTACGAAGGTCTAATACCAGTCCAATGGGCTTCCTCCGTCTGGGATCCTGCTCCCCGGTGCCAGCCGACACAGTACAAACAGTTGGACGAAGGCTCTCCACTGGGTCTTCTCGGCCTTATTCACCTTCCCCTTTGGGTAAGGAGAGTTTATAGCAGTAGTTTGCTGCTTTTGAACTACTGTCATGACACACTCCTCTAGGAACAGTGGCTCATGACTGAAGTGATTTTTAGCTTTTTGACACCCACCCACAAGTCCCAATTATTTTAAATAATATTATATTTTTGTTAACGGTTTATATAGCAGTTTAGGTTCCTATCTTACCTTTCTAGTGCTGCTATAGTAGAAATGCCAAAAGCAGTTGGCTTTAACATACAAAATCTGATTCTGTAACAGTTTAGGAGGCTAGAATTCTGAATTCAGAGACAGGGAAAGGTTTTCTCGGTCACCTTTTGAGGACCGTTCCAGTGTCTTCAGCTTGTGTCTCCAGGTTCACTGGATATCTCTATGTGTCTTGGCTTCTAATTTGCTTTGTCTCTGATGCTTTAATCTCTTATATCAAAAAGATTGAGCGAAGATACACCCTACACCAGTCTTGTCTCATTAACATAACTAAACAACCTATTTCTAAAGGGGATTAACTGTAGGCATAGAGGTTAAGATTCATAGCACATATTTTGAAGGGACACAGTTCATTCCGTAACATTTCACCCTTACACAAAAACTGCTTCCCTTGAGTTGATTCTCGCTCATAGAAACCCTGTATAGGGTATTATACACACATGCTGATGAGTGCCCTTGATTTGGTTGGCTCAGTGACCTTATATAGGGTTTCTGAGGAGCAGCTTGTGAGTTTGAACCACTGGCCTTAAAATTCAAACTGACCTTGAGGTTGAGTGCCTATCTTACAGTGCCACACTGGCAGTCCCATTTTATATATTATATAGGGTTGTGCTGGCAGTGTGCTGTAGAGTCGGTTTTGATTCATACCGACCGTGAATAGGGTCTCAGAGGCTGTAAATCTTCATGGGAGCAGAAAGCCTCATCTTTCTCCCCTGGAACTGCTGACCTTGTAACCACTACGCTACCAGAACTCCATAGTGTTCTATGTCTGTCTGTATGTACATAAATTCCTGCTCCAGGGATGGCCCTTTTTTTTCTTGAAGGACAACAGATATAGCTCCTTAGGTCGGTTTCCTGCTGGTAAAATTCCAAGAGACATCCAGTGTTCTTTCATTCTGTTCTCTGTCCCCTGAAGTCTAAGCTTATGAGTTTTCTCCTGCGGCAGTTGGTTAGACCTCTCAAAGACAGACTTATTCTCTTTAACAAAGGTTGTGTAGTCACATTCTTGGTGAACATTCCAGGAAACATGTCCAAATGTTTGTTTTCATTTTTTCATCTCTCTCTTTTTTTAAAAAAATGTTTTATTGTGAATTATGTGATAGTTTACATGGGAGAACATTAGCTTTACATTCATCCTATCGTATAATCGTTTCATTGTCCTGGTTACAATCCCCTCCATATATCATCAAACAACCAAAGGGTTTACCCCGCAAGCCTGCCCCTCTGTTGTCAGCATGCAGCCCCTCTCCCTCTCTGGGTCTAGAGTCCCTAACTGCTCCATCTCTCTACATCATCGTCTCTGCCTCCATCTCTGGCGTTTGTTGTTTTTTTTTTTCTGGGTAGGATCCTGCACTCCGCTTTTCTCCCTTGAATGGTCCCAGGGACCTCTGTTTCTGGACTGCAAAGTCAACAACTCCCCTTCTTTTGCTACAAAATGTGTACTTTTACATTTCCAACCCTCACAGTCAGTCCTGATACAGTTATTCACTATTGTATCACAAGAGTCCTATCTGCATCTCCTTTCATCAGCCCCACCCAGACAGATTTGATACTGCCCATTGGAGATTCTACCTTCCTCCGTGCCCTCTGGATCTAGGCTCCCTCTTGAAAGCCTGTAAGTCAGTCACTTCTTGCCTTTGTAGTCCCCTGCCCCCCGTTTTGGGTAGCCATGTCCAAGTTGCCCATCCCTGTCAACCCTGTGTACCCAGGGGGTGGGAATGATCCTCATTGTAAAGATTTGTTCCCTCTTTTGAGCTACTGCATCCATAGGTGTAGGTCAGGTTCATCAGATTACTCTTCTTTTTCTCTTCTTTCTTCTTCTAGTTGAGCTCTGATCATCCAGTCACTGAAGCCAGGTCAAGTGGGTATTATCTTTAAGTGTGGATGTTCTTGTGCATATGCCCTCTCTTCTTATCAGCTGGACGCTTCGCTCTCCACTCTACTCCTCTGTAGCTATGTCACTGACTCTTGGCCCAAGAGTCCCCAGGTCTTGCTATATTGCTGGCCAGCCAGGTCTCCACTTGGGTTCACAGGAGTCTATTGAACGTGGTAGGATTTAGCTCGCAGCTTCATTGCTGTTTTTCCCTCACTTCCCCTTCTCAGTGACGATTGTGCTCACCAGTCAGAGCACATGTCTGCTCGTGTATTCCCCTTGAGTCTTAGTCTTGGAAGGGGGTTTGCCCAGAGGGGACCCAACTACTTGCCTTGATGTCTCCTGGATGAGCAACTTGCTTGTTCTTGTAGTAATCAGTTGGACTGCCTTATTGTTTTGTATTTTTCCTGTTGTTCTTTCCTTCAAGAAGATTTTTCTGTTCTTCTAGCTGCTCCAGGCTGGTCTGCTTGTCCTTTCAAGTGGAAATTTACCACCTCAAAAGATTCTGGATGGGGTTCAGGATTTCACCTATGGTCTATGCAGAGGCTCCGCAGGAAGCCTCCTTCACTGAGCAAGTTATAGCCCCATTTTAGGTATTCCAATCAGTTCTAGGCAGAAGACGGACTTATAAGCTTTTTATGGTGATATTACTGGCTATTCCTATCTCTCCCCATCAGGTGTCTATTTTATAATGGTATGCCAGAGAAATCAAGATTCAAAGGACAGCCAAGCATCTTTACATTATTTTCCATCTTTTGCCCATTCAAGCCATGCCTCAATCCCTGTATCCCAGAGCCCTGTTATTCCAAGTTTGTGCATACATCGTTATTTACCTCTGTCCCACTTAGCCCAAGCAAACCTGCCTAATTGTTCTCCTATCTGCCTTGTTCATCTTGCATTTTACTATATATATATATATATATATATATAGGCAAGGAGAAACCATGCAGGCTTTTTATATCTCAAAAGCTATTGACTCAAGACTCACTCGACATTAATCCTGCCCCTTTAGTATAACAAAGACAATCCATTCCCAAATAGAGTTATAACCACTGCCATAGAAGTTAGGATTTATGACATATTTCTGGGGGACACAATTCAAACCATAAATGTTCCCACTCAACAGATTCTGTACAGATTGCTCAGTGACATTAGTTTACATGATCACAATGTGTGAACATTCTCCATATTACCGTTTTGGTGGTGGTTTTTCGATTAATCAAGTTCCAATTCCCTCTTGGAGTCCTGTTGTGTGCTGTAGGGTAAGGTCTCAAGTGCAAGGTCAGTTTGAACTGCAAGGTTGGTGGTTCAAACTCAACAGCCCCTCCTTGGAAATCCTATACAGGGTTGCTATGAGTCGAAACCAACTCAACAGCATTTAACAGAAACAGCAAGTCCCTCTTGAGATTCACTGTATAAATTATGTTGGGGATTGCTGTAGAGCATGACATTTGAAGGTCTTTTGCCTGCAAATGACTCCAGCCAGGCAGAGTTTGAGTTCGTCTTCTGCTAGTTTATGTGTTCAGTTTTTCTTGAGTACCTTATGCATCTCTGAGGGCTGTACTGCCAGAATTAGAAGTATATTTTAAAGTGAGTTTTGGGCTATTTGTTTCAACTGGTCCCAGCAGGAACTTTCTTGGGCATGCTCTTTGGTGGTTGTGATATACCACAGCCACCACCACCACCCCAGAGCCTCAGAGACAGTCTGTAAGTTTTCCTACCTGTAATAGCCCCTTCTCTGCTGCCAAAGTCCTAGCATGCGTATTTTGATGCATTGCTGCTGTCAGTTGTGATTGTAGGGGGAGATTCCTTTGTTCTTTGTGCTTTATAAAAAGGTAACCAGTTGGAGGTGGTGGTGGTGTACTGTGGAGTCAGTTGCGACTCATAGCAACCGTGTGCATGGTTTCCAAAGCTGTAAATCTTTACGGGAGCAGAAAGCTTCATCTTTCTCCCATAGAACTGCTGGTAGTTTCGAACTAGCTGACCTTGAGGTTAACAGCCCAAGTTGTAACCACTGTACTATTAGAACTCCTTACCACTTAGAGGCAGAATGTGGAAATTCATGGCGTCCTATCGCTCACCTGGAAAAAAAAGAGCAACGCCCCCAACGACGTTGATTGGCACAGTGGCAGCAGTAGTGGACTCAAGCATAGCAATGATTGTGAGGTTGGCACAGGACCTGGCCTTGGTTCATTCTGTTGTGCACAAGGTAGCTATGAGTCGGTTGTGACTTGACGGCACCTAACAACAACATATATATATGTTTGAAAATAGGATTTCTTTTCTCCCCTATAACAGGTCTTTTATTAGAAATGTTCCTAAGTGCACTCCAGTTGGTTCAAATCATAGCTGCCCTGTCTACAGTTTCTGAATAGTGGCTGGTGAGTTTGAACCACTAACCTTGTGGTTCAAACTGACCTTGAAGTCCAGTGCTTATCCTACAGCACCACACCAGAACTCCATGGGAAAAATGGATTTCATATATAGAAAGTATCTCCATTCGATTTGGACTCTAAACTCACCAGTCATAAACCTTAGGTTGTTGTGTTGTTGTTATGTGCCATGGAGTCGGTTCCAACTCATAGCAACCCTGTGCAGGGTTTCCAAGGCTATAAATCTTTACGGGAGCAGAAAGCCTCATCTTTCTCCCGCGGAACAGCTGGTAGTTTCGAACTGCTGACCTTGAGTTTCGCAGCCCGATTCATAACCACTATGCTACCAGAGCTCCTTAAACCCTAGGTTAAAGAGCGTAAAATGCCCATCTACTTATCACTCAGATTTATGAGGGTTAAACACAATAGTGCATATGACAGCAGTGGGTTAAGTTCATCGGGGCTCTCTACCTCTACTGGGAATAGTGCATCTCTTTAGAGGAAGCCCTATGAACTTACCTGTCTTTTACCTAGGGTTTACATGGCTTTCTTAACTGATAATCTTGTTTCAAGAGAGAATATATTTTCTTTTTTGTTTTGTTTTATTTTTCTAATCTTATATGTCCAACGCTCAGCACATTGATATTCTCAGTGTTTATTGGACTAAATATTTCCTAATTAAAATTCTGTAAAGTGTTCTATACTATTCTTTTTTGCAAGTGCTATTTGCTTTTATCCTTGATTGACTTTTAATGATTTGGTCTTCATTTTCCATCTTCCATAGTTGGTACTATTCCTGAGCAATTTAGTCAGTGCAGCTGTGGGCAGCCTCAGGTCCATGAATCCAGGAGTAGAAACTCTACAGGTAGGACAATGTATTTGGTGTATTAAAAATCCTCATTTTAAAATGAATGAGTTATGTTTTTCTTCTCTTACCCAAAGAATAGTATAATACGAAATATTTACTATTGTTTCCTGTTTTTTAGAACCTTGTTGACGTATACTTTAGCTTATTATACAACTAATTGAAAATAAGTCTTAGAAATTAAATAAGCTAAGTTAATTTTGATCATTGTCATGCGGATAATGAACATCAATCTAGAAAATGAGATTTCATCATTTTGATTAAAAGCTGTTAGTTGGCATCAGATAGAACAGAAATGTTTATTTTATTATATGTAGACATATATGCTTTTACATACATACATTTTATATATATATATATATATATAAGCGCTGCCACTCCATAGGATAAACACTGGATTGAGAAACACAAAGTTGGTGTTTTGAGCCCACCAGCTACTTCGTGAGAGGTGAGGATGGATTTCTGCTCCTCAGAGATATAAAACTGAAAATTTTATACAGGGTTGGTATCAGAATTGTCTTGATGATACTTTACAACAACAGTAGCGTGTATATATATGTGCCTGAAAAGATATGTGTAAATAACACATGTAAGTGAAATTCTGTTGTATGTTGTTAGTGGTGTCAAGTCAGTTCCGACTCATAGTGACCCTGTATAACGTTTCCGAGGAGTGAATCGTGGGTTTGAACCACTGACCTAAGCTTAGCTGTCCAGTGATTTTCCTACAGTGCCACACCAGCAATCCATGTGCATTTTAGGATAGGCCAATTAAAAGAACCCTGTGCTATTTAATATAGAAAAGCGTGCTCTTCTAAGGTTAGTTCTTTTATATTTTGTGTTTTCTTTAAAATAAACAAGTAACTTTTCCGCATGTCATTACATTTTTCTAGTCATTTTATTTGTGTATTTCTATAAAGGGCAGGACAGAATTCAGAAATATTAAATAACCAGGAGTCAGCAATAGCAAAGCTGCGTTTGGAAGAGTCAGTAAAAACATTTTCATGTCTTCCTATTATTGCTGGTAGTTTGGCTTTCAGGAAGCTTCAAAGAATGGTTATGTTGGCAACACCAGCTTTGTTCTGGGACATGGGATGCTCTCTCCCAGGTGACTGATACAGATTAAGAATCAGGAATACCTTTGACCTAATCCGTTCTTTGTAGAGAACATGGATACTTCAGATTTCAAATGTGTCATTAATGGAACTAATAAAATAGATAAAAATTTTATATGCTTGTAATTTTAAGACAAAATAAAATACAGGAAAGGTATGTTATCTCTCTGACCTTTTCGTCTGCATTTTATGTAGTTTGGTTTTGTTTATTTGAATGGGGGTTTTCTGGGTTTGCTTAAAAGTTTTCTTTTACTTACTATGTGAGAAAAGAGATACATTACATTGCTATATCTTCATATGTATTTTATTATAAATTAGAAATCATGTTCAGTATAGGTGTTTGTTGTTTTTATTAACGTCACCCATTAACTCTATTATTCTCTTTGGTGCTAATCCTACTGTACACTATCTAGTATCATAAAAGTCTACCATCTGAGAGTACCAAAACAATGTATTTATCATCGTTTTGTAGAGGATGACAGAAAATAGTTTCATACTGAGTAAACAGCTTTTAGAATACTTGATGATAACCAAGACACGTATCAGAATTCTCATTCTTCACATTGTCTTTAATTCTTGAGATTTTGCCCTGTGCTTCTTCACTTTGAGTTAACATTGGATTCATTTTTTTGGTAGGTTCTCCAGTACCACAGGCTCAGTCACCACAGTCTCTCTTACTGGGTGCTAGACTGCAGATCGCCCCCACCCTCACCGACATCTATCAGAACAAGCAGAAGCTGAGAAAACAGCACTCTGACCCTGTGTGCCCCTCTCATGCTGGGGCTGGGTACAGCTACTCCCCTCAGCCCAGTCGGCCTGGCAGCCTGGGAGCCTCTCCCACCAAGCATATGGGATCCTCTCCACGGAGTTCTGACTGGTTCTTTAAAACTCCTTTACCAACAATCATTGGCTCTCCTACTAAGGTGTGTTGGTTGAACCCTTTTGTAGGTCATGAACTAGTATAGTGCTTTATGGAAAGGATTCATGATAAGAATAGCAGTAATTAAATTAACACTAGCCACGTGCCAGGCACAGTGTAACCAACTTTGGTTACTGAGTGCTTTATATGCGTGATTCTATCAAAACAGCTTGGATGGTAGGTACTACTATTGTCCCTATGAAATTGAGACTTGGAGCTCTTAAATGCACTGGCCAAGGTTGCACACAGGCCCTAAGGAGAAGAACCAATATTTGAATCCAGGTGTAACTGTCTCCAGATTCTTGTTGGAGGCACTTGACTACGGTGCCAGTAGGCTGATGGTTCTACACATTTCATTCATCTTACTAACTCTGCTGCATGTTTCTTTAGACCACAGCTCCTTTCAAAATCCCTAAAACGCAAGCGTCTTCCAACCTGTTAGCCTTGGTCACTCGTCAGGGGCCAGCAGAAGGTCTATCTAGAGATGGGAATGACCCCCAGACATGCTCTCATTGTGTCTCACTACAAAGAGGTGAGAAGCCGAGGACTGAACAGCAGAACAAGGCGGTGTTTGGCAGGTAAAAGAATCTTCTTTTCAAGCCTTAAATATGACAGCTATAATAGTGTGGCTGTTCCTGTCATGAAAACAACTGGACCAAATTATTAACTGGCTGTGGCCTATGTGGTTCCTGAGATGGCCTGTTTACGTTTGGAATCTTTGGGAACCACAGATGCTTCTAACGTGCATACTCTGTTTCTGCTTTTGGTTTATTTTGCTTATTGAAGTTTATCTCCATCCTAAATTGTTCAGCATCTGTTTTTTGGCTCCCTCTTCTTTGGCTTCTCATTAACCCTTTCGTGGCTTGACTTAAATCAACCTTTGTATTTAAATACCTGGATTTTTTTTAAGTTTGTTGTTGTTAGACGAGGTTGAGTTGGTTCACAGCCATCCTGTGTACAACAGAGCAAAACATTGTCGTCCTGTGCCCTTCTCACAACCGTCGCTGTGTGTGAGCCCATTGCTGAAGCCATTATATCAGTCCATCTCATTGAGGGGTCTTCCTTTTTTTCACTGACCATCTACTCAACAAGCATAATGTCCTTTTCCACAAACTGGTTCCTCCTAATAACATGTCCAAAGTACAGGAGATGAAGTCTCCATCCTAGCTTGCAAGGAACATTCTGAGTGTTCTTCCAAGACAGATTTGTTCCATCTCACCATCCCTGGTCTATCCAGTATTCTTCTCCAACACTATAGTTCAAATGCTTCAATTCTTCGTTATTCATTGCCCAGCTTTCATATGCATATGAGGCAAGTGAAAATGCCATGGCTTGGGTCAAATGCACCCTACTCCTTAAAATGACATATTTGCTTTTTATCATTTTAAAGAGGTCTTTTATAGCAGTTTTGCCCAACTCAGTTACTTCATTTGGTTTCTTGCTAGCTGCTTTTATGCAGAGTGAATATGAATCCAAGTAAAAGGAATTTTGACAACTTCAGTGTTTTCTCTGTTTATTCTGATGTTACTTATCAGGAAAGGTATGCATCTAGGTTGTAGCCTTTCACAATACTTAATCTGTGAAGAAGAGTGTGGCATGAGGATTGGAGGAAGACTCATTGAAAACTTGTGATAACCAGATGACAGAACCCTGCTTGCTGAAAGTGACTAGAACTTGAAGCACTTACTGATGAATATCATCAAAGACTATAGCCTCCAATATGACTATACCTCAACGTAAAACAAAAATCCTCATAACTGGACCAATAAATAACGTCACGATATACGGAGAAAATACTGAAGTTTTTGACGATTTCATTTTAAGTGTGCTTTTCTGTTATTAACATCACTGTTTGTTTTAGATCTGTCAGTACAGGGAAATTATCAGATCAACAAGTAAAGACACTCTTAGGTGGCCAGCTGCGTCCAGGTAGCACGGACAGCTTAAATACAGAACGACCAATGGAGACAGGTAAGAAAAACCTGGTTTCTCTGTAACCACTTAGTTTGTTAGCATGTGTTCATAGCTTTTTATTGCTTCTGTAATAAAATACCCAAAGTTCCATGGCTTAAAACAGCACAAATGTTTTATTTACAGTTCTGAAGGTCAGAGTCTGAAATAAGTGTTACTGGACTAAAATAAAAATGTCTGCAGGGTTGCATTCCTTTTAGAGGTTCTAGGGGAATAATCCATTTCCTTGCATTTCCAAGCTTCTAGACCAGGGGTGGGGAATTTTTTTTTTTTTTTTTTTAAGTTTTATTGTGAATTATGTGGTAGTTTACAAGGGAAAACATTAGCTTTACATTCATCCTGTCGTATATCATTTCATTGCCATGGTTA